TTTTTAATAACATAAACAATTATATTCGGTGATAAGTAACAAAGCATTATGATAACATAATGCTAAACATGTAAACATCTTTTTATCACCAAACAAACAATAGTTAGAAATAGTATAAATAGATGTAAGTGTAAAAATGGAAAACAGTTCTGGAAATAAAACGAGACTGAAATAATCTCTTGTGTACTTTTAATTCCTAACAAGGACTCATAACTAGCGCTTGGAACAGTAGGGATGTGCAGGGATGGCTCTCTGGCGGAGTTATTTCTCCGATCGCAGAGCCACCATGGTTGGTGTTACGGCGACTGTTGAGGTCGAGGTGACTCGTGGCTATGCGTAGGGGTCCATCAGTGACCCATCTATTTGGCCCCTTATGATGGATTCCCTTCTTTGGCAGCTCGAGCCAGTCTGCGGCTTTAGTGCGTACGCTGATGACCTCGTTTTGGCGGAACGAAATTCCAGGTCAGACATTGACAGGCAGGGAGAACGGCTAGTTGAGATCGTTGGTAGCTGGGGGCAACGTATGGGGGTGGACATTTCGGTTGGCAAGACGGTGACAATGTTGCTCAAGGGGAAGCTATCGTTGGGACGTACACCGGTGGTTCGCGTCAACGGGGTCAGTCTTAGATATGTGACGCAAGTCAGGTATTTAGGGCTGACCATCGCGGAACGCATGAGCTTTGCTCCCCACCTGGTGTGCCTTAAGGACGTCGCATCCTGAGATGTGACTGGAGCCTCGGCCGGCGTGCGGTTTCTGTCATCTATCGGGGCCTATTCGTGGCTTGTACCACTTTTGGGTCCGCTATTTGGTATGAAACAGTTATGAAGGTTGCAGGTCGCCAGAAGGTCCTATCCTGTCAGAGGGTATTGTTGCTGGGCTGTCTTCCGGTTTGTCGTACCGTCTCTACGGATGCACTTCAGGTATTAATGGGAGTGCCTCCTCTTGACCGGGTGGTTATAGCTCGAGCTGTGTCCTTCAGGATGAGAACAATTTCTTCCAAACGTGGCACAATTATTAGCCTTGCTACAGCGTACCAAATGCCAGAAAATTTTTAAAATCGGAGAAATACGAAATAAATAAAATAAATCAGTAAATATTAAAGCTAATTTATTCAAAATTGATCCTTGCGACAATTATTTACCAAGAAATACGTTTGTGATAAAATTTTGGAAAATGGGCATGGCACCGCCCATTTATGATCGCATATATGTATCTCGGTAACCGTTCTACCAATTTGTACCAAAATCGATATGGTTATTGTGCTTGCCACATAAAAGCAAATCGTTGAAAATTATTGAAATCGGACTGAAATTGAGGCCGCTTTTCATATAATGGTAAATTTGAGAAATGCTTGAAACTTCAGTACATATTTCGAAATTTAAGGACGCTGATTTACTCAAAATAGATACACCCCGGCTTACCATGTAGTAATAGCTTTGGAAAAGCTGAAAATCATATATTTCATACTTGCACCGGGTATTAAATGTTCGGCTCCGCCCGAACTTAAACTTGCTTGTTGTATCTTAACTTGCGCCGAGTAATTTCAGTGTTGGTGAAATCAGCATGCAAAGTTCTATGGACGCATATTTTTGGAGGTTTCCATAGCATAACGGTTGCTCTTTTAGATTTATACCCAACAAGTTCACTAGGGTTAAATTTCGATTAGGATTAATAATCATTATGATTGTTTGTCAGTTGTAATTTTAATGATTATTATAACTTCTCTTCGTAATCTGGTAATTGCTAAATACATAGGTATAATTAGAAATAATCATTTGTCCGGATACACGATAACTCAAGCAAACTTTGAGATACGATTATTTGCCCCACCTCCCAAATAACCGTATTTTCGAATTTTGAAAATACTCTCTCGCTAAGCAGAGTTATAGCAATGAATAAAGGTAATGAAAAATAACGTTGTCCTTTTGAACTTTTTTAAGGCACTGGTTGTCCTTTTCAGAGATAGGGTTTATAACCAAATATGCTAATTACGTTTTGTTATTGATATAATAAATTCAAAATGCCGACAACAAGCTGTGGATTGTGCCGAACTACATGGAAAGAAGAAGGAGTCAAGATGCTTCATATGTCTGCAAACGAATTAAAAAGAAAAAAGGGTCCGACTCTTGCGGAGTTCTCCTAACCCAAAGCTCCATAATTTGCGCACTTCATTTTGAATCTTTTGATTTTGTATCCAGCTCCGATTGCAAAAGGGTGAGGTTATCTGACGATGCCTTGCCACTGGCTGTTGAAAGCTTATGCGATTGGGAGGAACCTTCTTCCAAGTTCGCCGCTGTCGCAACCCAAACGGAGTAAATATTTGTCAATCCAAAAATTGTATCTTAATAATCATTTTGTGCTATAGAACAACCGATAATCAGGTTCTTGAAGCTGAATTAGCCAATTTAAAGAGCGCGGGTTAAGGAGCTGGAGAACCTTGAGAACGAAGTTTCGGCTATTTTTACGCGAAGTCAGGTGCGAAAGTTGTACGAACCGAAGAAATTAATTCATTGGGAATGGAAACATATTTCTACCGCTATTGCGCTACACGCCGCTGGTTCAAGGGCATATGGCCACTTATGTAAAAATGGTTTCTGCTTACTCTGTTTCTGTAATTAGAGGAAGCGGGATCTACAGTAGTAGGAGTAGTATCAGACATGGGCTCAGGGAATCAGGCCCTTTGGAAAGAGCTGAATGTCACAAGTGGTATAGGAATCTGTGTAAGTGTTTAACACAACCCGTTAAAATTTTATATCTCATTTTTAGAGCAAACTTGGTTTCCCCACCCGGCCACCGATGGAAGGATTTTTGTGTTGCGGATGTACCGCATCTTATAAAACTGATTCGCAACCATTTTCTCGATACCAGGTATATGTACAAGGGCAAAGGCTTGACCTCTCGCACGAACGCGCAGTTACTCCTTTTGACTTCGGTGTCGGACGCTTCGATTTCTTACAAGCTGACAGAGCAACACCTCACGGTTCACAACGCTGGACGACAAAAAGTGAAGTTGGTTGTTCAACTGTTTTCGCACAACACCGCAAGCGCTATAAGACGGTGTTATAGTTTAGGGCACGATTTATTCAACGCTACAGAGACGGCAGAGTTTATTTCGGTGGCCAACGATTGGTTTGACGTTTTTAACACCAAACTTAAGACCTCTCAGTCACTGCCACCAAGGAAACCTTTTGGCATGGATTTGCTTCCCCAAATGCAGACCTTAGCAAATATGGACGTTTGCATGCAAAATATCAGGGCGCGTGGGCCACAGACATTGCTACCCTTTCAGAAAGGAATTCTCGTGAGCAACAATTCGCTTAGAGATTTATACCAGTATCTGAAGGAAAAGCATGACTTCAAATATATCCTGACGTACCGTTTGAATTAGGATATAGTTGAGCATTTTTT